GTATAAAAGTTACAATAACCAAATCATAGTACACCACTCTCAAGTTAACTAAACATTTCAATATATAAATTAATGACATAACACAAAATATGCAGAAGTTGTAATACTAAAAATGTATAGAGGAAACTATAATCAAGAAAACAATAATGTAAATGCTGACTCATGTTAAGAGTTTATTTAAGATAAACTCTTCACCGGGTCCTTTTGATTCTGGACGGATCAACAGGAGACACCCTTGAGATAATTAACACAGAATTTATTAAAGATTATATGTAAAACCCACCGAACAGATTTGCAAATCTGGGAGACTGCTAGAACGATACTTCCCTTCGATCGTCAAGCAGCGTCTCGTCTAACTTCTGTAACTCTGACATTTTATAGTGAAGCCTCATTCTTATGTAATTTCTGAGCAACCTGCTCTAGATTTGGATGCCAGCCTGACACATATTTGCACAGTCGTCAGTGGGYGAGGAAACTGGACCTTGACCCYGATCACCAAACATGTTTTTCCAGTAGTTTTGTACTGCACACTGTGACGYGTGAAATGTCATCTCCTAGGTCAAATTACATGAGATGCATTACTTATTTTAAAAGCTATAAGCAGATAATGTACTGTAGTWATTAACAGAAGATAAACTACAAGTAAAACTGATTAAAATCTCTTTACTCAGCACCCAGTAGCCAGTACTGTGACCAGAGCTGGCCTGTAGCCAGTGGGGTTCAGGAGACAAACTACCTTAAAAKGTCCACATCCTCCTCTTTTATTTTTCTCAATTTCTTTGTATGGAGTCCTGTGGGTGTGTTGAGAGCCGAGAGTCACCCCTGTCAAACTCACACAGAACAGAACCCTCCCTGTGCATCAGTAAAAAGCAGAACGAGTGTGAGAAATAACTCCAGCCCAGACGGATTTTCTTCCTGACGATGCTTCTCCTTGTTTAGAAACAAAACACAATGTCCTCTGTTCTCACAGGGATGTGCTGCACACGGAACGTCACATGCAAATGACTCGAGCGCCRGCGTTGTTTAATAAAGGGAAAACCCAGTGACTTTTAAAGGGGGGCTTGTTTGTCAAAGTTTATAACAAAGAACACATGGTCTGTTAGCACTCGGAGCATGTGGCGGGGATGACTCTCAGCTACTACCACGTTTTAAACCAAATGGGTTTTAATTTTACCAGTGGTTACATGCTTGTGATATTTTTACAGAGTGATATGATCAAATCTTGTGATATTTGTAAACAATGTGTACTTAAAKGTACCACATTGCTAAAGGTTTTTGCAGTTTGTACCATGTTATTTTAAAGGGTGGAGTTTGAAACGATCATTGGCAGTTGTGTGAACAGAAAASAAGAATGCTGTGTCAAAAAATGAGTAGCTGTAGTGTTGTATACTGTACAGTGGTGGGTACAGCTCTGCTCATCTGCTAACCCGYTAACAGTAGAGCTAATTTTCTGTTCAGCTGTTTAGCTTTTGCATTAATTTTATAAATTAACGGATTTCACTTCTGCTGAAAAAATATTGGTTATTTTCTATACCACTAATAATCTTAGAATACATGGTGCTCCATTCAAAATAAACTCAAAGATGTTGTCTTTTACTTTAGAGGTGGGCATATTGGCTCTCTAGCGCCCTCTAAACATCAGCCCCCTAATGACTTAAAGGCCATATTTGTTCACACATCAATGGATGTGAAATATGTGTCCCWAAGTAAGGCTGCATTAATGTAGCTTTAATATTTGGATGAGGATATGTAGGATCTTTCATACCTTGCTAGCTGAAATGTCCTGGGTCTTGTGGCCTTCAATCCCAGGTTCTTTGTAAATGGCTCAACACACGGGCAGCGACAAACTACAGCGATTAACGGCTGTCATCGCAGCCAGGGTGAAACCCAACACACGGGACGCAACAGCGATCGCAGCGTTGCGAATCGTGCTCTCAGGTCACTTGTCTTCACAAAATTTGATTGCTTCTTGACTCTGAAGGGGGGTGTGCATTACGGACGTGTAAACTAACAAATCTTGCGATGCTAATGATATTGAAAAACAAACACACATCAAGATACAGTTTTATGAGGAAAAA